CAGGAAGATCAGTATGTAACTAACTAAACACATCATCCTTATTTTATCCAGAAGATTCCAGATATGTGAGTCACTAACAAAATAAATTTAAGCTAACAAGGATCTATACTCAATTGTCTTAGATCTTAGGGTTGGTTTTTTTTTTGTGTGTGTGTGTGTGTGTGTGTGTTATACATATAGTAGTGAATATGCTATTATAAATTGTAATTGTTTTTAATTCCAGTTGTTCATTGCTAGAATATATAACTGATATCTGTTGTTTTGTTTACTTGAATTCTGTTAAACTAAACTGAATTATAGCTAGAAAATTGTATTGCATATTTCTTAATATTTTGTACATTAGCCAATCATGACCTCTGTGAATAGACTATTTTATTGGCAAGGACAATGGTGTCACACTGAATAGAAGAATGAGGGTGGACATTTGTGCCTTGCTAACACCTTAAGGGAAATACTCAGTCTTGACTACTTAGTAGGATATCAGTGGTGACTTTTGCCCAAATGCTTTTTAATCAGCCTGAAGGAATTCCCTTTTATTCCTAGTTCACTGAGAATTCTGTGTTTATCAGAAATATTACATATTATCAAACACCTTTTTTGTACCTTTAAAAAAAGATCCTATGTTTTTTCTTCTTTAGTATATTGATATGTTGATATAGTAGCCTACATTGATTGATGATGGATTTTCTTTAATGGTACTGTGGATGAAAGCTAGGGGTGCTTTACCACTGAATTACACCCCCAGTCCTTTTTTGAGACAAGCTTATTAATTTGGCAAGGCGGGTTTCCAACTTGCCCTCTGCCCACCTCAGCCTCCTGAGCCACTTTTATAACAGGCATGAGTGAACACACCTGACTTCATTGATTGATTTTTGAAGGTTGAACTAGTCTTGAATTTTTAAAAATAAATTCCTTTGGGTTACAATGTTACTTTTTTAGCCCTGCTGTTTTTGACTTAGTAGTATCTTGTTGAGAATTTCTGCATCTGTATTAATGATGGATGTAGTTCTGTGATTTTCTTATAATATCTATTTCCATAGACATAAAATGAACTTGGAGGTGTTCTCCCTACTCTGCTTTATCCTGAAGGGTTTAGTGTAGAATTAGCATTATTTCTTCCTTGTATGTGTGGTAGAGTTTGCCAGTGAAGTCACCTTGATGAGGAAATTTCATTGTTATAATGTTCTCATTTATAGATATGAAGCAATTTAGGTTGGTGATTTATGCTTTTTACAGAATAAATTGCAAAATGTCTGAGTACAGTGTTCATAATAGTACATCTTTATCATGATGATAATATCTATTCAGTTTGTAGTAATGTCCCCTATTTTCTTCCTGACATTGATAACTATGTCTTCTCTATTTCTTGGTCAGTTTGATCTTAATATTATCAACTATATGAAACTTTCCTAAGAACAAGATTTTGGATGTACTGATTTTTTTTCCTGTTTTTCTCCTCCATTCACAATCATTAACTTTTGAATTTTTTCAATTTCCTTCATCCTGCTTTCTAAGGGGTTAATTTCCACCTACTTGTTTCAAATTTCTAAGGTGGAAACTTGAACCATTGAGATGAGAGGATTAATTTTTTATTTAAGTAGGTAATGCTACATATTTCCCACTTGTCCATGCTTTAGTTGCACTCACAAATTGTTATATCTTGCATTTTCATTTTCATTCAGTTATTACACTCTAATTTTCTTTGTGA